AGAGAGCTGGCCTGGAAGAGGGGCAACCGGGACAGAATCCGGCGCCCCAACCGGGACTAGAACCCGGTGTGCCGGCGCCGCAAGGTGAAGGATTAGCCTATTGAGCCACGGCGCCGGCTCAGACAGCTTGCTTTTATTAGTTATTTATAAATGTATACCTGAGGACCACCCATTAAGTAATTTTTGACGGCTGCTTTGGAAAGAAACGGTATCATACAGTCATTGCAGCAAATGACCAGTAGATGGCGGTGCAGGGAGCCACGCAAATGATTGCAAAGCAAGTCTCCCCAAGAAGATTCCAAAACAAATTATCAGAAGAGCAGTGAAGAAAGGCTACAGAGAGGGAGATTAACAACATACTTTTCATAACCGTTTTAGGAATATTTTAAGTTTAACATGAAATGTATATTTAGTTTACTTTTTCAATTGCATTGCTGGTGGAAGTATCTATTTGCCTCTGTCTATGACCTTCCCAGACAGCAACTGACATAATAGCAAAGTATTTCAAACAGGCTATTCTTTGATTAAAATCATCAAGGGCTGAGGATGCCAGTGATTGATCTAAGGCTGAGATAAAACATTCATCTACAAGAGTGGCTTTCAGCCGGGAGTGGTGGGTGATTCTTGCAAGATGGGACCTTTGACAGAGTCTAGAGACTCGGGTGAATGTCACAGTTCGAGGGAGGGTTTGCTGTAGCCTCTGATGGCAGAGACCAGAGATGTCACTCAGCATCTTACAATGCACAGGACAGCCTCTCATGACAAAAGTTCTGTGCTCCCAAATGTCACCTGAACTGAGACTGAGAAGTCCTGGAGTGTACTCATGAATCTCATGGAATTGTTTGCAAGAGGGGAAAATGGAAAGCAAACAAACCAAAATGTCAAAAAGCAGAAGAGTGGATCAACAAAATATGAAGGACAATCATGCAATTCATGATCATACAACCGTTAAAAAGGATTTTGCAGAATTATATATTATATTTATATCACATAATCAAACTTTACATAAATAGAAATTGAAATTATACTCCTCAATATGCTGCAAATAAGGCTGCTTAGCAACCCATGCACAGGTTATGAGCCCATATTTCAAAAAGACATATATATGGGTCGGCACTGTGGTGCAGTGAGTTAAAGCCCTGTCCTGCAGTGCCAGCATCCCATATGGGCAGTCCCAGCTGCTCCACTTCTAATCTGCTCTCTGCTGTGGCCTGGGAAAGCAGTAGAAGATGGCCCAAGTCCTTGGGCCCCTGCACCTACGTGGGAGACCTGGAAGAAATTCCTGGCTCCTGGTTTTGGATTGGCGCAGCTCCTTGGCGCAGCTCCGGCCATTGCGGCCAATTGGGGGGTGAACCAGCGGATGGAAGATCTCTTTCTCTCTTTCTGTCTCTCCTTTTCTCTCTGTATAACTCCGACTTTCAAATAAATAAATAAATCTTTGGAAAAAAAAGAAGTTTGAGGACCACAGCAGCTGCTAATTTTCAAGAGAAAAATGCAATAAAATGTCTGAAACTTAAACCAATACACTTTAAGATAGCAACTTTCCCCCTAATATCTTCCTAATCTTCCCCATCCCTGTTAACTACTCCTGTGCTTTCTGCTTCTGTAAGTTTGACCTTTTTTTAGATTCTACAAATAAGTACGATCACACAATATTTATCTTCTGTGCATGGCTTATTTAACTAAAATACAATGTTCTCCAACCTCATCCATGTTGTCACGCATTATAGAGTTTCCCTCTCTTTAAAGGGTGAATGCTGTTACATTACACATATGGCACATTTTTTCTTTATCCACTCATCCATTGATGGACAATGAGGTTGCTTGCATTTCTTGCCCAATGTGAGGAGTGCTCCAGTGAACATGGGAGTAAAAAAGTCTCTTCAACATGTCGATGTCAATTCTTGGCATAAATACTCAGAAGTGGGATTGCTGGGTCACACAGTAGTTAGTTTATTTTTAATTTTTAAAGGAACCTTTAGACAGTTTTCTTAAAAATAGAAATGTTTTACATTATGCTTATCTACTATTACCTAAACTTGCTGTTTCCTTCATTCCAGTCACATCAACCATTGTTCCAATAGTGCAGGGCCATAGTTTGCCTTTTTCTACACTGAGATTCCTTTTTTATGGTCCAGGATGTTAACTGGTTCACCATTTCCTCAAGCACTTCAAGGGTAATGCCAGATTTGTTACTGAAAAATATTACATTCGTATTCCCCAAGTCCTCTTGGAGTCTCTGCGTGTCCTCGGAGAACTAGTGAAACACGAAGACTGCTGTGAGGTGCACACACCTCTCAGGGAACTGGGCAATGGCATTTTTGTCTGCTACAGCCATACTGGTAAGTTAAAGTCCTGTGTGATGAGACTGTTTCAGGTCACAACCTGTAAAACAAGAATACAGGCGTTCAGATTTTCTACTGCAAATTCCACTAAAGGAATTTTAGGACCAGTGGATTACACTTTAAAAAGTGAAACTAGAAAATAGTCACATTTTAACTTTTCAGTTTTCTCTTAAGTGGGATCAAAACCTAGTGTGTGTGTGTATGTGTGCGCAGGTGTGTGTGACCTTTGTAAATCAAAGTCAGTTATGAGCCATGTCTAGTTATCGCCAAGTCAGTCAGTGCTATCATTTGATGAGTTTCAAGTATAATTTCCCCTCCTCAAGGAATAGAAAAGGCAGCTCAAGAAAGACCTGTAGAGTTCAGCGCTGTGGTAGCTAGCGGGTAAAGCCGCCGCCTACCATGCCGGCATCCCATATGGACACCAGTTCTAGTCCCGGCTGCTTTACTTCTGATCCAGCTCTCTGCTATGGCCTGGGAAAGCAGTAGAAGATGACCCAAGTCCTTGGGCCCCTGCACCTGTGTGGGAGACCCGGAAGAAGCTCCTGGCTTCAGATTGGCCCAGCTCCGCCGTTGCAGCCAACTAGGGAGTGACCCAGCAGATGGAAGACCTCTCTCTCTCTTTACCTCTCCTCTCTCTCTAACTCTGGCTTTCAAATAAATGAATGAATCTTCAGAAAAAAAAAAAAAAAAAGAAGAAGAAGAAGACCTGTGATTGGAGCTGGCAGAGCCCTGCCCTTACCAGTTGCTTGTGTGATTGTGTGTGAGCACATAAGTCTTGGCTCAGAGCTCAACCTGGGAAATAAGGTGAGATTATTCACTGTTCCTTCTGTGCAAAGTTCATGGCAGCCATTTCCTGCTATTCAACTGGGCTTTCACGTCGAGGCTGTCTCTCCCTGATGCATGGATCGTTCCACTACTCTGGGCTGTGCAGGGTACTTTGTCGTATGTTTGATTATTAGTAGATGTTCAGTATTAAGAACTCATTCAGATCTTGTCCCATATTTCTTTATCCAAAGAGAGAGTAGATAACATTAAGAACTGGGCACCGGAGCCGCCACTGGTGCTGTGGTGTAATAGGTTAAGCCTCTGCCTGCAGCTGGCTATCCATATGGGTACAGGTTCGTGCCCCAGGTGCTCCTCTTCCGATCCAGCTCTCTGCTATAACCTGGGAAAGCAGTGGAAGATGGCCCAAGTGCTGCACCTGCGTGGGAGACCCAGAAGTAGCTCCTGGCTCCTGGCTATGTATCAGCTCAGCGGCCATAAAGTCTTAAAAAAAAAAAAAAAAAGCCCAGGCGCCCATCCGGGCCCCCGGCTGCACCTCCAGGTCCAACAGACTCCAGCCCTGGACAGTGCGCAGCCTGGCATTGCCACCTTCCTTTTCTCTGAGGGAGAAGAAGCCAAGTTCAGGGGCTTCCCTGAAACATCTACATGCTTCTGCTGGTCCAGGAAGACATACGTTGAAATATTACAAAAGAACATTTCTGCCTTTGAAAAATAACTGTCTTCTACTATTAAACGTTATATGTCCAGCTGATCAAAAACATTTCGCCCAAGGCCCATGTTGGTTAAACAGAAATGTTATCCCCTTGCTCAGAGATCAACGAGCGATTTGGTCCGTATGGGAGGCAAAATTTGCACAACCACAGAGCTTGTCTACACTTTGCCACAAGGTGAATCAGACAGGAGTTTCTCAGATTTCACTGTCCTCTGTCATCTCTGAGTGTCCGGGCTGCCAACCTGGCGGGGACCCCACCACGCGGGGCACTGACTCCGCCTCACCGATAGGGGGCGCGCGCAGCTGCACCTTTCCCGCCAACTCCATGTGGGTGCTCCAGCGCGGTCCCTCGCGGCCGCCTCCAGAGCCCGCGAGAAAGTTCCTCTTCCGGGGTATGTGGGACCCGGATGCGGTGGTGCTATATAAGCGCCACTCAGGCCTCACGTCCTTCTTTCTGAAGACGACGCGGTAGCCTTAGGTGCGGAGCGTGTTTGCGCCCGCTCCTGCTCCTGACTCACCGCTGTTCGCTCTCGCCGAGGAACAAGTCGGTCAGGAAGCCGCGCCGCAGCCATGGTGAGACGAGCGGCGGCGCCACGCGGCTCGAGACGCCGGCGGGACTCGGGCCCGGATCGCGTGCTCCGCTGGGGTGGAGGGAGGCGGTGAGGACTAGCTCATTTATGCAGTCCGATGGTTCCAGCGAGGGTGGGCGGACCCGGGGAGCTTCTAGGTGAAGCTTTTTTCCAGAAGTGCGGGGCGGTTTCTGACGTACGTACTTCCTCACTGTGTGCTGACAGGCTTTTAAAGACACCGGAAAGACACCCGTGGAACCAGAGGTGGCCATTCACCGAATTAGGATCACCCTGACCAGTCGCAACGTCAAGTCCCTGGAGAAGGGTCAGTGCAAAAAAGGGGGGGGGGGTTGATCCGGTAATACGCAAAATTGACTCGAAGCAGCAAAGTTGCAAGTGGCTGAGCTTAGCCTAAGAATGTTCTGGTTATTGACACCGTGCGTTTTTAAAAGAAAACGTTTTATTTCAGAATAGTTGTCGAAATACAGCATTAAGTTAATGAAATAGTTATGCAGCTCCCGTATGTTGCAAAATAGCACGTTTGTCCCGATGAATGTGGGGCATCCACGCTTCGGCACTGTAACCGGAAGCTGGCGATGAGGAGATACAACTGTGTTGAATTATGGTGATAACTTAATACGCTATTCTGAGCCAGCTGAAACGGGAGTTGTTCGGCTGACTTCAAGTGTTGGGAGTGAACTGAAAGGTGTTTTTTTTCTTGTAGTGTGTGCTGACTTGATCAGAGGAGCAAAGGAGAAGAATCTGAAAGTGAAAGGACCTGTTCGGATGCCTACCAAGGTAAAATGAATCCAAAGGACACTCTTTAAGAGCTGCTTCTCATCTTTGCATGATTTCTGACCTCTTGCCCTTTAAGGGATTTGGCTGCCAAATGCTGATAGTACAATCAAAAACTGTTGGAAGTAACCGATGTTCAGAAGTGGCTGTTGAGGGAGCTGTTTTCCTTGTGTGTGTAACAGCTAGAGGCTTTGTCCCAAGGTGCTGTCTTGGCTGGGTGAGGTTAGACTTGGTCGTTTGAATTGATGGTGTCTGAACACCTGTTAATACAGAGCATTTTCCAAAGGAATACTCCAAAGTAATTGTCCTGCACGTGTTCTCAACGTTTGGTTTCCTCTGTTGCAGACACTGCGAATCACTACAAGAAAAACCCCTTGTGGTGAAGGTTCTAAGACATGGGACCGCTTCCAGATGCGAATCCATAAACGGCTCATTGACTTGCACAGCCCTTCTGAGATTGTGAAACAGATCACTTCCATCAGCATTGAGCCGGGAGTGGAAGTTGAAGTCACCATTGCAGATGCCTAAGCCAACCGACTGTTTTAATAAATTGACTACCACTTGTTAAATTTTGTGGACTTTTATTTAGGATCCTGGCATTAAGGGATATAAGCAAATGTGCTATGAAATTTATGCTGCTTTTAAAGTGAAATGATTGATGGATACTCTACAGTGGGCCATTCTAATGTTTCCTAGAGGCAGCTAAACCAGCTTGTTTACCTTTGACTTTATTTCAGTCATTTGAAAAAAAATCAACTGGATAGTACGTAGACATTACCATTGGTGAGTTGGTGCAGTGTGACAATGTGTAGTTGTGGCTGCATGTTGAAACCTTGCTGAAAAAATGTCCTAATGTCTGAGGTCCTGCCAAAGAAGATAAATTTTTGTTACAAAGTGCTCTAGGAGGTCTTGTCAGAGGTTTCTGGAATGATAGAGCGAGGACTTGTCTTTTTTTTTTTTTTTTTTAAGAGATTTATGTTTACTTGAAAGTTACACAGAGAGGTCTTCCATCCACTATTCACTCCCCGGATGATTACAACTGTTGGAGCTGTGCCAGTCATGAGCCACGAGCTTCCAGGTCTCCCATGCAGGTGCAGGGGCCCATGGACTTGGGCCATCTTGTACTTTCTCAGGCCATAGCAGAGAGCTGTATCAGGAGAGGAGCAGCCAGGATTCGAGCCAGCACCAATATGGGATGCTGGCACCGCAGGTGGCGGCTTTTAACCCACTATGCCACTGTACCGGGAGTCCTGTCTTTCAAAATTGGAGTGCTCCCATCTTGATCCTTTATTGTCCAAAGTGTCTCCAGCATCCAGGGCTAGGCTGAGCCCAGGAACTCAATCCTGGTTTCCCACCAGGGTTTCTGGAGTCAGAAGCCAGTCAAGCCCAGGCACTGTTGAATGCAGGTATTCCGTCATAACCCCTAGGTTAAATGGCCACTGCATGCTGGGAGTGTTTGGGATTGTCACTCAATGTCAGATTCTAAAGAGGTGATAGGAAGGTAATGCCACCTTTATCTGGGATTTATCTGGGTAGGGTTTGCTCTGTATACTCCTTAGATCTCTAAGGTGTGTCAGACTTAATTTGGCCAAACCTATATTGGCACAATGGTAAGCATGGTTTGCTAGGCTTCTGCACTGCATTTTTACATTAATGTGAAAATGATAGGGATCCCATTCTAGTGCAGATCCAGAAGATGGCTCTCAATGTTTCTTTAAGCAAGTAACATTTTGGCATGAGTATCCTTTATGTATTTCTATTAGTTTTCTTGAGGGGAAGTTTTTTTGAGGTTAACTCAGTGGTTTAAACTGAATTAACAAGTTAATAAAACTTGGAACAGTGAAAACTTTGGGTCATAAATCCCGAGGAGATAAAGGCCAGTGTGGTGGAGCAAGTAAAGTAGCCACTTGTTAGGCTGACTACTTGGAGAGGTGGCCCCTCCAGCTTCCTGCTAATGCGCACGAGAAGGCAGCAGATAATGGTTCCAAGTACTTGGGCAGACAAGTACTTGACAAGTTTTGGGATTGATCAGACCTAACTGTAGGGGCTGTTTGGGAAGTACATCAGTGAGTGACTTTCAAATCTATATGTGTATATATTTAAAGATTATAGATTAGGCAGAGAGGTCTTCCATCTGCTGGTAAACTCCCCACATGGCTGCAGTGGCCAGAGCTGCACCCATGCAAAATCAAAAGCCTGGAGCTTCTGGGTCTCAAGTGGGTGCAGGGGCCCAAGAGCTTGGGCCATCTGCTTTCCCAGGCCCATAGCAGAGAGTTGGATTGGAAGAGGAGCAGCCAGAACTCAAACCAGTGTCCGTATGGGATGCTAGCACTATTAGGCAGTGACCTTATCCAGCACACCACAATGCCAGCCCCAGCCCTCAATTTTTAAAAAAAGATTTACACATGGGCCAGCCGGTGCTGTGGGGCAGCAGGTAAAAACAGCTGACTGCAGTGCCAGCATCCCGTATGGGCACCATTTCAGGTGACTGCTACACTTCCTATCCAGTTCTGTGACCTGAGAAAGCAGCGGAGTATGGCCCAAGAGCTTGGGCACCTGCACCAACGTGGGGGACCTGGAAGAAGCTCCTGACTTCGGATCAGCGCGGCTCTGGCTGTTGCAGCCAACTGGGGAGTGAACCAGTGGACAGGAGACCTCTCTGCTTCTCTCTGTAACTGACTTTCAAATAAATTAAAAAAAAAATTTATACAAATGGGTCTAAGTTCCTGAGGCCTGCAGTGACCTATTCCTGTTTAATAGTGAGGCTGGTCTCCTTTGTTTAACTCATCCAGAATTTGTGAAAGAGTTTTCATTAGTCAAATGTCAGGACCCACTTGGCCGATCTGTCCTTTAACAACTCTTAAGTGTTCTTTAAACTAGAGAGTGCATTACCTAAGGAGGGATCTTTAGAAGGTTTGCAGGAAATGTGCATTGTGGAAAAGTAAGCATGAGTTTCAAAAGTTATTGTACCAAAATAAATTCTACTTTTCCATGAGCTTTTTGATGTGCTGCTGTAGACTACCTACAAGGTTATTTTAATTAATGATCAATTAGAAGTCTTTGGAACACTTTGTATCCTGAGAGCTGATCTTGGTTTCTTGGAAACAAAGCCACTTTTTTTTTTTTTTTAAGACTTTATTTGTTTGAAAGGCAGAGTTACACAGAGAGAGCTCTTCTGTCCGCTGGTGTTCACTCCACAAATGGTCACAGCACCTGGAGATAGATGGGCAGATCCGAAGCCAGGAGCCTGGAGCCTCTTCCAGGTCTCTCACAGGGGCCCAACCACTTACACCATCTTCTACTTCGTTTCCCAGGTCACAGAGAGCTGGATTGGAAGAGGAGTAGCTGGGACTGCAGGAGGTGGCTTTACTCACTATGCCAACAAAACCGCTTCTGACCATAAAACATATGTGAGAAATCTGTGTTAGTAAGCTAAAAAAATAGCTTGATAATTTTAATGTATTTATGAATTTTAGCAGTTGAATGCACAAATGTAGTTGAGCGAGTTAGATTTAAACTGTAGTACCTTGAGAGTCTAATGCAACACTTAAAATTTGGGGAATTGCTGTTATCTTAAATTCCGCAAACTTGGAGGCATGGGTGTGATGCAGCTGATTAGGCCACTTGCTTGGGACACGCACATCACATTCTGGTGTGCTGGTTCAAGTCCTGACTCCTCTGCTTCAGATAGAGCTTCCTGCTAAGGCATCTTGGGAGGCATCGCATGATAGAACCTGGGCTGTTGCCATCCGTATGGGAGATCCAAGTAGAGTTTTGGGGTTCTAGCTGTTGGATCCATTTGGGGAAGATGCTCTCTAACAAGACCTCTGCAATACTGGAAGTACAGCTAGGTTAGTGATAAAGAAGCCAATGATCCTGACTGCTGTTACAAAGCGCTTCATTATAAAATAATGAGTTTTTTTTTTAATATATGGAATGGATTTTACTGTACTTCTGATAGGAATATAAATGAGCACAGTCATTTAAAAGTTCCTTCAATGGAAGTTAAAAGAGAGTGGAAGGTGGAATACCTCTAATCCTTACTTCTTTGCGCAGAGCTCAGCTTCTGTTTTAGAAATGTGCCCTAGCAACCGTGGAGGAAACAGACACCTCTGAGTGTTCACTGCTGGATCAGATTTCTTCATCTGACATCCCTAGAGTGCCTGTGTGTGTTTTGTGGGTGTAAAATGAACACACAAGAGGATGAAGAAGTGGGAATCCCTGGCTGTGCAACCACCTCATTCCAGGTGTAGTGCCTGGATATGAGGGCATGGTAGTTACTGAACAGCTTCGAGCCTCAGTTCCTAGGTGCCAAGCAGAGATACTAATAATTGTCTGTCTCAAATGTGTATATAGGTGTCTCCTTGTCTCTGGGAGAGGTTTTCCAACCAAACCAAGATTTGCTAAGGCTATAGGTTTCTTGCACTGGATGTTGATTTCTACGGAACATGGTGCATTAGCTGGCTGATGGCATTGATTGGAGTAAGCTGTGAGGACACTGAGTATATTTGAATCCCCAGGGGCATGGTTTTTCTAATTACATCCTCCAAAAGGGACCAGCAGGTCTAACTGTATACTAGAGAACCTGGCAAAGGCAAAGTTTTCTCTTGAAAAGTAAGCAGAGCTACATCTATCCTAATTTCCTTCATCCTAGGCATATTTTGTTTTCATACTGAATTAGATTCATAATTAGAGAATTGAATCTTATACATCTTGATTTGTAAACTGCTATTTTCATTTTATGTATTTTGGTTATCTTTTTTCATTAAGTTTAAAACAACTCACCCAAAATAGTATTAATATTCTCTAGCTCTTTTAATGTACATATAAATGTTTATAATATATAGTCAATACTTCTTAGT